GAGAGACTTGTCGTCCCATTCGACAAAGAGTGGCTGAACAAAAAAGCGCCTCCGGTTAAGGCAACAACCGGAGCTGGCTGAGCACAGGCAGAAATGGTACACGAGATGGAATGGTCTCAAACTTGTCGTTTTGCTGATTATGGCATGTCTGAGGCTAAACATAAAATTAGAGAAGCCATCGAAATATACCGAATGAGAAATGCAATGAATGTAAGTAATAATGGTAGAAAGATAAGTAGAAATTGTGGTTCAAAAGAATTTAGACGGCAATTTAAAAATTTTGCTTCCCAAACTTTCAGCACTAGATCAAACCTTCTCACTTCATTATCTCTACTCAAATACGAAAAATAACCTGTGTAAAGTCTATAGATTGTACCTAAGGCGTATAATATCATTGCAAAATGCCATTTTGTTTATCACGAACAATTGGCCACGAAGAAGGATGATCAAATTCAAGACGATAAATACCAATATGCATCTCTTGTGCTAACTGTTCAGGCACCCTTTCTTGTACAAGAAATTACAATTATGTATTAAGGAAATAAAGATAGCGCCATTTCAAGCCAAAGTATACTCCATTAATGAGTTTGAAGTTCTGACACTTCGATAGACCACGCTATTAACTGACCTGTCATCGATGAGGGCCTGAATTTCTTCACAAATGCTAAGACCAAACATGTATAGGTCAGTTCAAATAAAAGGGTTCGGCAAAGGTAAGCATATTTAATATTCAAAGATGCCTTTGGAAAGGAAAGACTTCAGCCAAAGTATGCTTCTAAAGACTGCCGAAAAAAGTGAATGTTTAAAGTTCGAATTGAGTGAAAGGAATAAAACTTCCAAATACGAAGCAGAACGTTGACACAAAGTGGCAAGAAAGAGATAGAAAAGCGATTCTAATAAACTCGCCTCAAGACGAAGTATTACTAACAATAATGATCAAAGCACTTCGGTACCACCTGCAGCTCTATGTAGCGTTTTGAGCAAATTACAGGCAGGAAAGCACGTGGAAAAGATAACTTAGTAATAAAATATTAGACAGGTTTTTAAAGTATAAATGTCAAGAATACTCACGAATATGTTAGAATAGTCCAAAATATTGTTAGGATTAAAATCGGTGCAGGGTCTCCAAAAGTTGAGCG